TTTGCATGTACCCTTCGGATATTGGTGCGTTTGACCGGGTTGGATTCTGCGTGGTCTCTGCGAGAACAAAAACACTATGAATTTTCAAGCAGTGACAGCTAACATGCTTTTATTGATAAAATTAGTTTCGGGTAGGTGTTGGGTCGACCAGCAGGCATACATACTTCTTTGAAGCCGGTGGAGGCCTGCGTTAGGTATGCTTTCCCAATGTCCTAGAATTTCCTACTTTGGATATAAAGGAGCGCCCTATGAGAGGGCATTTTTCACTCCTTTCCGCCGTATTTTATGTGAAGTTTTACTCTTACCTGATATTGTCGAACCAAACGCACTAAACCCATTTTTCTTTTGAGAGGTTTAAATATGTCATCCAAGTCCGAGCGTGCTCCAAACCACCAAGCATAAACAAGGCTCCAAAGCATCTGGAGACCTATATGACTGTACAGACCAATATGTCTATATCCTACTTCGCCTCCACCTGAATCATGCCTATGTATGCTCACAGCAAGGGCACTTGGCACCTTTAAGCCCGAGAGCCCCGGCGACTCCAGCCGCGTGCACTTATCACGCTTGGTTTGTTTACATCACAGTACATCGCAGTTGGCAGCTGTGTGCCCAATTCAAGGTTTTCACGCATCCCTTTTTTTCTTGTTCGCGCCACACTAACACCGCGTTAGGGCCCGTTTGATCTGTCGTCAGCACAATTGTCGGCAGGAATGCGTAACGTCATGCGTGCTGACAGAGCGTTCGCCGTGTGGGCTGGCGAGAAAGTTTTTTAACTTCACTTTGCTTTTTTCCTTTACCTTTTGACCACTTCAAACCTTCCACTAAATCTGGCTTACCGCCGCCTATGACACACTACCTATAAAATGGTGTATATAATGTAGCCCCTGTTTCGGTATTGCCATCATCTGTCCTCCCCGTTGTTGTTTGAGTTTTTGTTGTTGAGTTGTTTGTTACCATTCCCATCTCACTTAGATTCTTCCCTTCTCATTCAAGTGCTCACGCAATTTTTGTGGAACAGGTCTATGGATCCTTCACTGCTACTTTTGCTTGCATGAAGCCCACTCTTTCATTCAATTCCCACTTGAACTGACCATTGACGAAGGCCACGTTCGAGACGCGATGCACCTGGTTCCTATTCTCCATATTTTACGGTTCTCCCAACACCATTCATGCACTGGGGACGCAACCACACACCATCGCTAGCCATCGTCACTCACGTTTTCATGGCTTCTCTAGGTAGTCCAATTTCTTTCTTTTCTGTTCATCATTGTATTCCCCAAAATTAAAGATAAGTGCCCCTACCCCACCTAATGTGCCCGCAGACGGAAGAGCTACGAATTTAAGTCCTTTGTCAGATTGATCTTTTAATCTGGCAGTGCTTCTTCTCCATGCTGACCGGCCGACAAAAATCCTGTCATTATCGTCAGCTGAGGCGTCACGTCACAGACCATGTAACTGTGGTCACATGACGTGACGTGGGGAAAATACTGAGCCGTGATTGGTGCTGACAAACGCGCTGACGACAGATCGAACGCGGCCCAGCAAAGCAGTTTTTTTATAAATATTACTGCACGTATTTCTGTTTCCGGAATAAACTTGACCACTAAATTGCAGCACTCCCGAAATGTAGCAGTGAGATATTCAAGAATGCTCACAAATGCTGCTGTGTTACGAATAGGCTAGATAGGATGAGATGAGGCAAGGCTTCCTGAGGCGTGGTTAGGCCACCTTCATAGAAATTAGCGTAGGTATATCACAAGAAACGGTGACAAAATAGTTAAATTTGCTGACCCCATCTTAACAGAAGCAAAAAATATGTGAGTCGTTTGTTTGATTTGGTAGCATGTGATGTGCAGGGGTCCTAGACCTTTTTCGTTTGAATACTTTTTCTTGAATTTAGTCACACGGTCCTCAACTCCAAAGCAAAGCCCCAAGCAATGCATCAAATATCCTGCATTCATACACTGACAGAAATTTAGAAGGCATTTCAATTTTACTATTGTGATGTGTTCCATCCAGCTCCGGATTCAGGGATGTGGCAAATAATTGACGGAACGAGGATACATTTATTGTTCTGAAGAATGTCTTGACCAGCTCACAGTAGTATCGCTTGTTCTCTACTGCACTGTTCCACGTGTCCTCCACAGCACGGGTCCTTGCCTGTATCTCGCTGGTTGTGGCGGCAAGTGCTGCCATCTACAAAAAATCACCGATTTCTCGCCACTTTTTACCGCTAGGCAGCGCATGTGAAACGTGCATTGCGGTTTTTACCAGATAGTATCGAACGTCTTTACTGGATGTCATGCTTGCATATGTCACACAGGCGCACAGTATAATTGCGGTACAGGCCACTACAGCTGCCTTTGGCGGACTTACCACGGGGCTAACACAACCGGAGTGCTCGGCTCCACTCGTCCCATATGACACGGAATCATCACACCAGTGACCTGTTTATGCACATCAGCAATATTAACTCGACATCCAGTCAGATATGGTCGTAATACGATGAACTCGCAACGCGATACAGCTAGCAGGAATAGGCTTCGTTCAATTTGCACCCGAAATGTCAGGATGTTCAAAAACGTGGGATGGATGGACAGGGCTGTCTTCTGCCGAGAACGGAACTTGTTCAGTGGAAGAGTTTTTGAGGAACCTTTGACGCTGGAAAGGAAATGAACACAACGTAATTCTGGAGTGTATTTTGTCTTAAACCATGTGAGAGGAAAGCGCAAAATAAAACATCAAAACATTGGTGGTCATCATTTTTGGCACTCATCACACTATAACGAAACAACTATTCTTTTGATGTATTCTGTTTCAATGTCATGACCTAAGATGTGATAAATTGTCATGTTTATGATATGACGTTAATACCAACCATACATGTATGTCTTTGGTGGAGCATCTCTCACTGACCCATAAGTCCAAGGTCTTGTGAATGGAGTTTTTCACGTATATACGGTCCTTTTGCGGTGTAGTTTTTTCGCTCCACCCGAGCTTAAAAACGATTCTAGCTCACTGGTTTCCTCGCTCGGGCGGAGGTCTTCCGTTTTGGACTGGCAACAGGGAAGGCCTCCACGACCCCTACTGAACAGCCCTATCTGTCTCTAGAATGCGATACGACTTCAGGCATGCTGAGCAATGGGAGTACGTGAAACGCAGCCTCCAGTGCTCAACACGTTACTGGTATTCCAATGGGCAGTCCGAGAAGCGGGAGGGGTATCCGTGGGTCCGGTTGTAAGGCACCGCCCCGGCGTGCCGGGTGAGCTGGGGTACGTCGGGCGTGCGCCTTCTCTCCCGGCCTGTGCTGGCCGCCTGCTGCACTCGAGCGCACGTGCAGATACGGCGTCACGTCGGACATGTCGCCAATCTTGTGTTGGGATCAAATTTTTTAGCCGGCCCAGGTCCGGCGCACAGATTTTGGGATCCGGTTCAGCTCGTGACTCAAAGCCGTCTATTTTTTTTGTTCATATCAGTTCGGACTCATCGCTTGCATGGTATGATTTGGCTCATGACTCAAGCGGTTTGCAAAATCAAAGATCTGATTCAGTTATGTCTCGTTGCCTTATTACCCATTGATGTACATGCATATACATATATATATATATATATATATATATATATATATATACATATAATGTGTGTGTGTGTGTACGCGCTTGTGCGTGCGTGCGTGCGTGCGTGCATGCAGTACAGATAATTATTTACTTGTCTCAAAATTGGAAATAGTTATTGATGCCATCCCTGGGAGGTCACATTCCGGGACCCACAATTCGCATATGAAAAAAGACGATCTTGCCACTGCTGCTGTTTCTTGCAGTGGCACGCTTGTAGCAGTATAAGTAGTGAATGAGGTGTCGGGTATAGATGCGTTCATTGTGGTAGAAATATGACCAGCCCTTGGATTTTGCAGGGAGCAGACAATGTCGTTGAATTAAACACAGCATGGGGGAACGTGGGACGTCTATTTCATGTCATATCCTCTGGGCCTTGGCTGAGATTTGGCCAACTTTATATTGGGATCAACAATGTTGCGCTTGCTGCTGAAGAGCTGCAATAGCAAGCTGTGTGCTGATCTTGCACAAAGCTTGATAATTAATGGTGCTCGCTGTTCATTTTAACACTCTGAAATATAATGTATTGATTTTACGTGGCTTGCTGCGTTTCCTCATGTCACCCCTTTAAGTCGAGATACATGGCTCACTGACATGACGTTGTGGGAAATGATCGGCTCACGACTCAGGTCATGAAATTTACGAAGAACGTTATTCAGCTCATGACTCAGTGCGGTATTTTTCGTAATGAGCGGACTCGCCTTCGGCTCACTCAAAAGTGAGGAGCTCGTGAGCCAATTCACGATCGAGTACGGGTCGAACACACGTGTGCCTGTCGCCGGTCGACAAGTCTGGGCCCGTGTAGGGGCCCGCCCCAGAAAGAACAACGGTAGTGACACCGGGGGAGCAGACCGTGCGTTGTCTTGTTGGAAATTGAAGTTTAGTTTGCTTCTGAGCAACGCGCAGGTGGACCGGTTTGTCCGGTTGTTTGTGCGTTTCTGTTGTCGCCCTGCTTGATGAGGTGGTTCGCTAGCCTGTTGTGGATGAGAACGGCCAGGAGATAGCCTGCTGGTTGTGTCCGTGCGAGCAGAGGGCGGTTGGAACGTTTTGCCTGCCGTTTGTGTTCGTTTGAAGAAGAATGGGTTAGTGGGTCGGCATGCTGTTTGTGCCCATCTGTTGGTGTGATGAGGGAGTGGGTGAGGTTGTTCGCTTGTTGTCTGCGTGCCCGTTTTTCGGCATGTATGCGCCCGCTGCTGGGTGGGGCATAAGCGGAGCGTCGTCCACGGGGGGGGGGGGGGGGAGCGGAGTGTGCTGTGCGGTCTGTCCGCCTGTCCGTGCAGGTCTGTGTGCGCGCCAGCCGCTGTGTGAGGGCTCGGAGCGGGTCGCGCGCACGATAAGAGCCGCCACCGCCGGCTGCTCACTCGTCGCCCTCGCTTGCCGCAGGTCGTTCGCCCGGCGCTAGGCGCCAGAGGTCGGCAGACAGGGGCGGCCCCTCTGCCGGCCCGGCAGCCTCCAGCGGGCAGCAGCCAGCCTCCAACACGGGGTCCTGTACCAGCAGCAGGTGGGTCACAGCGCGCGCGCGCCGGCTGACTCGACACGCGCTCGCTTTCGTGCGAAGTCCATCCTATCGTCCGGGTTTGCGCTCCCCTCCCCGCTCCCTGTCAGATTTCCGCGCTTCTGGCAATTCAGTTGTGATTCTCTCATCGCTATTTCGTCCCTCAAACATTTCTCTAACGGCATTGTAGGGACGCCTTCTCCCATCAACAGTTTTAGCATTGTTTTCATCACGTTTAGTAGTGCGCGCCAGCAGATGACTAGTCGGAACAACCTTTTTTCCCAAGAGCTCATTCACCTCTTACCGTGCATTTGACTGGGCCTGCCGGTACCCCGGAGTGTTTCCAACCCCTATCACCCTTCATACTGGCTTACTTCTGCACCTGCTTCTGTGTGCCCGGGCGAGGTTTATCTGCACACCTGGGAACGCAACGGCTGGCCAGTCGACCGCAGTTGCCGTCTGGCTGACGTTGCCGATCTAATACTGGAGCTGGCCCATCCACGGGCCACGCCGCTGGATTGATTGAAGATTGACCTCCGCCTCCCCGGGCGTCAGGCATTGATCCCGCCGGACCGTGCCGGACGGTTCCTTAAACGCTGACCCAGCGCGCTCATTCACGAACTCATCCGACGCCGGGGATGATCCGGCTGCACCCACCCGGGTGCAGCTGAATCCCACGTGACCATGACCTCCCCCGAGGTGTTGGTGGGACGACCGTTCCCGCTACGCCCAAGGAATGTTACTGACGTGATGAGTTGAGCCAAGGTGGCCAGCCGCTCGTACTGTTAAAATATTTGTAAGCGTTTGCTGTTTATTTTTTATCCTATATGTTGAACTCGGATTTTGTTTCAAGATCAATGTTGCATTCTTTTTCGATGTTATTCGGTCATATTTGTGTTGAAGTTGTATGTTGCTGCGCTGAACTGCGCTGTTGCATCAGTTCTCATTTCGTGTCGCTGGCATGACGTTCGATATGCTGAGTTTTTTTTTGTGCTGAGAGCTCCAGCACCCCTGCTTTTTCGTAGGAGAATGTACATTAACGCGGGCTTCACGTCACATTGTCATGCATGCAGCTGACCACCGTGGTTACGGTGGTGAGATAAGGCGGGGCGGGGGATAGCTAGGGTCAGACTGGCAGAGCGCTCACCTGTCACCCTGCGCGGAAGGTCATGAGTTCTAGTCTGGCTAGCAGCCTAGAGTTTTGTTATTCCCGCGATATTGTGCGCATTAGTTTGTGTTCCGGAGTGATTTAAGGGCTTGCTCTTAGTTCCTCTGAGCATTTATTTCTGGTGGTTTGCATGTTCCGTGCCGGATAAATAATATTTTCTGGGCCGAGCCTGTCACGTGTGTCCCCGCCGTACCACTGAAGTCGTGCCGTTCCTGTTCAGCCTCTGAGTTTGCGTCCGGTTCTTTCTCCAGCCAGTACTACGGAGGGTTTTGCGTGCCGTGCCGGGTTTCGCGGAGGGTTTTGCGTGGGTGTGATGCCATGACACGGCCTATTCGGCTAGGGGCCCTTTTCTATCGGCTATCAGCTGTCATTGCCATGATCGGCCTAAACGATACACCCATTTTAGGACTTCCGCTCACCATCTCGGGATCACAAGTCAAGGATCTCGTCCGTAGATGTCTTAGGCGGCTACGTGCTGAATGTGTCGCTGGCCATCACCCACAACTCCTATTTCCCCATCCTCAACCGCACTCGACGGTGGAGGGTGGATTGTGCCGCCCCACATTGCATCTCTCATTTGGTGGAGATGAGCAGCTTGGGACAAATAGAGCATCTAGACAGAAACCAATGGTTTGCTTTGCTTCTTCATTGTCATATACTGTTCAGTGTTTGCCTTGAGGTTGAATCCTGACCCTCCGGGTCAGGGTGGGGTCAGGTGACAGTATGTGGAGACATTCGAATATCGATGCGGCTATCGCGCGCAAGTCATATTGTGAGGCAGACAGCTACGAAAGGGAGAAAATGAGATCCGGTGTCTCCTGGACTCTTATGGTGCCTGTACGTATTATCTCAGGCGATTCAATGATGAACGCCTAGGTGCGTTTGACACATCTCAGCTTTAGGCTGACATCCTGCTCCGATGCTCGTTTTCCTGTAACGGTTACGTGTGTGGAGTGTTTAAGCTTCCATAATTGCTGATTGTGCCGCACGTCAAGATCGGCGTGCAGCTTCGCGTGCCTGCGGCGTGTGGCAAATCGTTGCTTTCAATTAATGTTCCACGTTTCTCCCTTGTTACCATGCTTGTTCACGCCACCACTGCCGCGCCGTTTGTATGGTGCTGCGCGAAGGCCAGTATGGCAATATTTTGTCCACGAATATTTGTTTACTCCTCTAGTGACATCAGTGATATTTGTTTGCTCCTCCAATGACATCAATGATATTTGGTTGCTCCTCCAGTGACATCAATGATGTTTGTTTGCTCCTCCAGTGACATCAGTTATATTTGCCAATGCTACCAGAAAACCTGACATCTTGTTGCGCGCTGTAAAAAAGCATGATGGAATCGAAGCAGAACTATTAAAAAATCATTTCCAGGAACTTTGTCTACGGTTAACGCTGCTTCCAAACTGCAGCCTTTGCTCTTTATCGAATGTCTCATTGACGCCATCTGTTGGATGACATTTTTTTGCAAACATAATTGCATACGGATACAAGTATTAAAAAAAGGGCAAATCAGACAGCACAGAAGCCTTAACACGCGCCCGGATGGCCGGTTGGTGGGTCAGTTCGACTCCCTCCCCACCCTTCGCTCTGGTGGGCGGTCAGTTTAACACTCTGAGATGTCAAAAAGTAAGAGAGCTAGAGACACCAAATGCCGAGGGTGTGTTGGCCTGTATATGGGCCCGCGTTTTTTTTCTGCTATTGTTCCGATAAAGGCATGTTGCTGAAATGTCAACGCATCATCTCCATTTTCCCAGTTTTTCTCCGAGGAATGATGCTATTACTACTGGCTTCCATGGCGGGGTGGGTGTGGGTCGCTCTAAGTGTTTGCTATTTGCCCGCGACACATGTGGGCTGCGGCCGGTGGCAGCGGCCGCGCTAAAGGTCAGGTGACGTCAGAGGATAAGGTGGCCCACGCCGAGCATCGCGGCTCGTGAAACGTTTGCCACCAAATTCTGCCGTTGACCTAGAATTCCGCGATCGGATGGTAGGGTCTAGGGCTCACAACACCAGCAATGCATAGCCTGAGTTTTTATTCCAAAAATCCATGCGATCCAAAAAGTTTGGATGAAGTCTTTGTAAAAAATGCAGTATTTCACTGTCATAGCAAAGTCATCAGTTGATGCATGCAATTTTAGAAAATATGGCCCGTGGTGTATGGAGAGGAGGTGGAAGGGTAGAACCTTTGTTACATCTTGTTGATAGACAACTTAAATTTTCACCGCTTCCTTCTCAGTTGTAGTTGAAAACTGCCATCAGTGTTAGATATCGGCTTTGGTGCACGAGAAGTTCCACTGTCCGTGTATTTTGATAGCTGCTCTCGAAGCCCTATAACTTGTGTTAGCCAAACATTGTTACGTATTAGATGACACTGACATGCCACTTCATGCACATTTAATTGTATGGGTCTAGACTTAAGCTGAAATAGTAAAATGTATGTTGCAATAACTGCGCACTTGCGGTTCAATGGGCGGGTCAGCATTGTAGCACAGCGGGCTTTTGCGGGTTGGACCGCTAGCTGGCCGGGGCGGGCTGGGCTGTGCGCTGGTATCTTGGAGGAAGTTGCGTCTGTACCACGGATGCTCCGCGGTGCACCAGTTTCTCCATCCTGCCGCCCGTCCGTTGCGATCGCCAGACGGCGATCCGCCGCAGAGTGGCACCTTTCCGCCGCTGTGAGCGCCGCTCGGCCCGCCGTGCGCCCGGGACCCGCTGACGCGGTCGGCCGGGGCGGCCTCGGCGACCGCCCCCTCCCCTCCCGTGCAGCGGCACCGAACTGTTGCGTCTGGCCAGTGGCGACCCGGCGTTTGTTGATGCCTGCTTCTCGGGGTCACCGACGTCGGCCGACTGCCCGGGTGGCGCAGCGCCGGGAGGGCGGCGCCGCCGGCCGACGCAAATGCCGCCGGCCATCAGCGGACGCTGCCCTTCGGTCCTGCAGCTGCTGGCTGGACTGGAGAAGGTCCAGTTGGACCGTGTGTTTATGCGACCGGCCGTTCCGTTCATCGGCAATGCACTGTACCGTTGCAACGGAACAGTGCACTGCAATGAGTTGCCACCAGGCGCGGTGACGTGCCGTCGTGAATAATTGAGCGATATGCCCGACAAGGGGTGGCGTGCGAGCAGGCAGCTTCACGTACAGGCCGTGGGTGTGATGTCAGTGGGTCGGCGCGCTCAGTGAAACGCGGGAACGTGGCACTATCTTCTGGAACATGCTGTCGTGAACTGCCGCGCCTCCGTGATTATTAAGCGGGGACTCTGAGGGCCCAGTAGATCGCCTTCGTGGACGTCCCGTAGATGACGTGTTGCTGCGGCGAGTCTGAATCGTGGAATGCACACGGCAGGCTGCGCGGGGAGATAGGGATTACCCGCAGAAACCCAGGTGCGTCTCTCGCGTCGGACTCACGCGGCACCCCCTGGCGCAAGCTGGCCATCATCCCGTACCACGCGGTCTTGCACAGCTGGCGGTATGTCCGCTGGGAAGGTGGCGCCGCCCCTCCACAGCGGGTTTGTGGTTCATGGCGTACGGTGGTCGATAGCGCACAATACCATGCGGTGCAATATTGGGCTCGTCTGTTCGGCCCTGCCGCTCTGTGTATACACGCTGCCCGCAATCGCTATCGCTTTGGTCCTTGCGCTGTCCGACCCCGTCTTCATCCACACGCGTGATCTCATGCAGCCGCCGTATTCGGTCAGCTGCTGGCGCCCGCAGTGGTGACGTCAGCCCGGGCGCGGTGTGACGTCACCTGTCAAGTGTGCTGATGTCACGTGTGGGCTGCCGGCCTTGTGTCTGGCGAGCGCCGCGGAAGGCCGCGGTCGTCAGGCGGAGGGGTGGGTGGGTCGC